TCTGAGACTCTTCATTGGACACGACAACAACAACTTATTTTAATAAAATATTTAAATTAACACTTCACAACAGACTTATCCGACAAATAGTTCCAAGGCTGCTGTAATTGTTCTTTTGATATTAACCAAGGTTCCCGAACTCAACATTCCATTAACATAATTAACAGCATGTTTTATTTGTAATATGTTTTATTAATGTAGAAAATACATAGCGTCTTTTAACATTTTGGTAAGGCATTGTAAAAAAGCGGCCGCTTGGTGTGTTTTTTTTTTTTTTTTCAATATACAATTGACTTAAAAGTTTATTTTCGTAGGTAATTTTTGTGATCATTTGTAGGTCTTTCCCCTACGGTGTGTAAAATGCCTTATGAACAAACTAGAATTATAATCCTTCTATTTATGCTCAGAAGAAGGGGGTCGGTGGAAGGATGGTCTAAACCGTTGGTTTTCGACCGCTACGACCCGGGGTCGAACCCGGTTTTCTAATAAAAAAAAAATGTTGTAATGACCACCGATTCTTGCAAAAGTCCAACCCTGCCAGCGAGTGCAAATAACTAAACGGGCTCTGGTACATTTATAAGGGCAAAAGTCTAACTGCTTTTCAAGTGTGTAGACCTGTGTGCACTTAAGAGTAAAAGCAAACGCCAACTTCTAACCACCATGATTATCATGGCTTGTACCACGTGTACTAGGGATAATATAAAGATTCATTGACATAAGTGCTAACACGTCCCTCCCCTCTACATCTCAAAACGTTATTTAGAATAAATATTGATTTGTTTATCGATTAGATACAATCTATATCAAGTAATTTATTTATAATTCAATATAATGCGGCTTATGATTAAAGAACGAAATTTGGCAATTATACCGCAAATGTTCCTTTTGAACGAAAATTCGAAATTTATTTTGAGGAGAAATAACGATTATTTTTAACCTTAGGGATGAAGTATGGTTGGATTATGAAGAGTAATGATAAACGGAAAAATAAAGAGTCCAGTGATGGAAATCGAACCCACAGTGTTCCGCTTACCGGGCAGATGCCATGTCCACTAGGCTACCCCCTGGACACTTTATTTTTCTGTTTATCATTACTATTCACAATTCATTCTATCATACTTCATACCTATGGTTAGAAATAATCGTTATTTCTCCTTAAAATAAATTTCGAATTTTCGTTCAAAAGGAACATTTGCGGTATAATTGCCAAATTTCGTTCACAATCTATATGTATCGTTCTGATGAAATATTTCAAAAAAAAAAAAGAATCTGATAGATGGACAACAATGGGATATAAAAGTTCAATGTAAGGAGGGTTTGGCTACAGGCCAACTTGGCAGACGTCCGTTGTAGAAGTTATTCTTGGATCCTACTTAGTCATTTCATTCGGGAACCATTGCTGTCAAGTGGCCCATCCTTACTACAAACGAATAACTTTTTCTTTTAAGCACAAAATTCTCAATATAAAGTTATTTTAAAATAATCATAGAAGTTATATATTTGCTGAATTAAATCATGTGAAATATCTTCACTCAATCATATTACGGTAATAAGTGTGTATCGCTTAAGACTTTTGATGGTGTCTGCCGGAGAAGAGTAGAGCTTATCAATGGAGGAGTCAATACAGTCAATAATGTGTTTTGGGGTTTCAGGTTGAGAATTACACTTAGTACAGTGGGAAAACCTTGCGACCATTCTGGAAGGTCATTGTCCGTAGGTGACCATGTGGAAATTGAATCAGATGAACAATTTCTTTGCACTTATTTTCCAAAAAAAAAAATCCATCTTCCTAAACACCCGTGCGTTCCTGTGAGGATGTTCTCTCACGTATAAATGAACATTTTAAGAAAAAGGAATCTTCTGATCGGTCTGCAAATAAAAGTTGCTGGTGGCTTGCGTCGTTTGTCAGAACAAATATCAACTATTCGTCGATTTTTTAATTATTCCAGAATTGGACAAACACATTCTTGATCAATCTAAGAAAATCTAACCACGTACAAGTTTCTGGCAGTTGGTCCTCGTCAGCTTGGTACAAGCCGTATCTGAACGACCAAAACGACAGTAAACAAATCATGAAACGGGTGTTTAAGGCCAGAATTTCGCGTGAACGGTACGGAGAATAATGTGAAAAAATAGTACAAAAGTAAAATTGTACTGGGATCAGGTAGATAAAATAGAAAAGGGCATTTCCTGATAGTGCAAAAAATTTTAAACATTAAAAAAAAATGTCAGACCCATTACTACATATTCATCGGTATACATTTTTTTCCAACAGGAAAAATTTGTTTAGTAAGTCTTTGCTCAAATCCATTTTTCTTTTACAATATAATATACATGTTTTTCAGTGTTTTTTTTTTTTTTTTGTATACATGGTTGTAAGATAATGTGAGTATGTAAAAGTTAAGCAGATATAAGAGTGAATGTTGGGTATGACAAGGTTATACAAAATGTCGCTCAAATTTCATTTTATTTAAGTCATCAGTATGGAGGAGTCACCAGCCAGATGTGTGGAGTAATTAGACAGCAGAAGACACTGCTGGAACAATCAGACGACGAGGGGGGACTTCTGGGAACAGGGGTTGGGAGGGATTCCAGGGGGGCCGGGTGAAATCTGAGATCTTCCTCCTCCCTCCCCCACATGTGGAGAAATTATCTCCTCCATGTTGTTTCCTCCCAGTCTGGTGGTGGGACTTTTTTGGCCACGTTCTTTTGCTGACTATAGTCTGAACTAAGATCATTGAAGTGTTTGCTTGTCTCCTTTCATTTAGATTTTTCAACAAAGATCATTGAAAATTGCTTGTCACCAGTATATTGTTTTCCTTTCAGCTAAGATGATTATTTTAAGCTAAGATTTTACAACAAAGATTGTTGAATATTGCTTGTCACCAATACTAGCTATGTGTTTCCTTTCAGCTAAGATTTCTCAACTGAAATCGTTGAATATTGCTTGTCATCAGTATTAACAATGTTGTTTTCCTTTCAGCTAATATCAGTGAATATTGTTTTCCTTTCAGCTAAGATCATTTGATTTCAGATACGATTTTTAAACTAAGATCTTTGAAAATTGCTTGTCACCAGTACTAGCTATGTGTTTAATTTCAGCTAATATGATTTATCTCAGATAAGATCATTGATTTCAGATACGATTTTTAAACTAAGATCTTTGAAAATTGCTTGTCACCAGTACTAGCTATGTGTTTAATTTCAGCTCTTATGATTTATCTCAGATAAGATCATTGAGTTCAGATACGATTTTTAAACTAAGATCTTTGAAAATTGCGTGTCACCAGTACTAGCTATGTGTTTAATTTCAGCTGATATGATTTATCTCAGATAAGATCATTGATTTCAGATACGATTTTTAAACTAAGATCTTTGAAAATTGCTTGTCACCAGTACTAGCTATGTGTTTAATTTCAGCTCTTATGATTTATCTCAGATAAGATCATTGATTTCAGATACGATTTTTAAACTAAGATCTTTGAAAATTGCGTGTCACCAGTACTAGCTATGTGTTTCGTTTCATCTAAGATAATTGATATCAGATAATATCATTTTTCAAAAAAGATCATTGATGAAGTACTATCCATGTGTTAGCGGTTATATTTTATTAATCAAATATATTATCGAATTATTATATATTATATCGAATATAATTTTATTTCTAATATCTTCTAATAAAATAATTATAAAACTACTTTTCGATCTCATACACATTCATCCTGCCAAATCTACTTTAGTAAACCCTCGAAACACTCAGGTGACTACTACCCTGAATTGGTAGAAATTACCCTAAATGAACATATTTTCACGGTAACCTATGTTAGAAAAATAGCACGATATTCCAAAATTATTGCTAAATTGTTTGTTAACTATTAGGTTTTATCACAATTTTTCCTCTTCCCATATTATTCCTTTTTTAAAATTACCAAAACCGTTGTCCCCCAGGACACATACATAGTAGGTACCCTAATTTCGATCAACGAGAAAAAAAAAAAGACAATGAAAGCTATTATTTATTAGTAGAAATAGTGAGAAAACGCAGGTTACGAGTTCATAGTGCACGTCCCTTCCTCATTAGTTGTGTGAATCATGCTAAATATATGGCTGTTATCCCTGATATTGCACAATTTTGTACCCATAGACGATTATCATGGTTCCATGATATGGAAAAAGGTTAGCACAGCACAACTCGGTGTTACCCACGGTCTATGTGCTCTTGTTCCACATAACATGTTTCAATAAAAATGCTTCCATTAAGGTAAATCAGTAAAAACTAGCTTCAATGAATTTAGAAATATGGAGTTTCCTGTGGTAGGCGACTATCTGAAAATATGGCAGAAGATTTTTTTCTGGTAATCGAGTTGAACACATGGATCTATAGAATTGTTTTAAAATCAATAAATTTTTCTTTTAAATTTATACCTGGAAGGTTATGCTTGGAACTCAAAAATATGCATAGGACATGGAAGTATTAAAGCACGAATGTTTCTATTAGACAAATTCTGTCCTTACTGTGATTTAAAAAAATATATATTAAGAGCTGACTCAGTGATGAATCCTTCCAGCGATTTGGCCAATTTAATTTACCAGCAATTTATGTAAACTATGCATTAAGCATTAAATTGTAGAAGGTACAGAATCTGAATAGGAGAGAGAGAGAGAGAGAGAGAGAGAGAGGTGTGTGTGTGTATAGGTCTATTCTACAAGGAATCATTTAGGAATGAAATTTAGAAGCGCGTTGATAATGTCCTTAACATTGATTCTAATGAACACGTGGAATCTGATGGTGAAATGTAAGAAGGCACACATGCGGGGAATAGAAGGGAATAAAAAATCAAGAAAATAGATTTGAAGAGGAAAATTAGTACGAAATTTCGTTAACATGCAAGAAAGGTTGGATATAGGACATGCAAGAAATGTTAGAAGAAAAGGTACGAAAGTATTTTAGTAGATTTTTACCAGTTAGTACTCTGTTTTCCCGTAGAGTTGAAATTGCCATCCAGCACTCCATACTTCTATACATTCCATACAGTTCTTTATCCATATATGGGAAGTAAGGAAGTACGGAATACTGGAATGGCTCTGTTTGTAGTACTTGATTGTAGTACGCCATCCCTGAACACAATACAGTGTCACAGACAAGCCTAACACGTGTTATAGTAGGCATACACACTGAACAATATTACATGGCAAAGCATTAAATAATACACTTATCTATAAATAATACTATAAATAATCATGTAAAATAGCCTGGAATATGGCATTGCAATTTAGCAACCTTATTTCATAGTATATATATTTCAAAAATATAAATTAAGAATACATTTAGAAAAGAGCTACTATCAATGGAAACATGGCATTGCAATTTAGCATATTAAAAATAAATTTAGAAAATAGCCTAAAAGAACCATGGAAACATGGTATAGCAATTTGGCAATTTTAGTTAAACGATATATATATTTTTAAATATAAATAAAAAATGCATTTAGAGAATAGCCTAAAAGAACCATGGAAACATGTCAATTTTTATTCAAACGATATATTTTTTAAATAAATTAATAAAACTAAGAATAGCCTAAAAGAATTTTATAAATGCTAAAAGGAAAAAAAAAATAATAAGATGAATGTAAATCAAAGCGTATGTTTTAGAATAGAATTAAGATCTTAAATATATCGGGCAAATATATATATTAAAAAGCTTTACAAATAATGGCTTTTTATTAAAATCTCAATTTTATAATTAAACAAGTAAAAAAATAATATTTTCCGATAATTAACGATCTTAGGCTACAAGTCTTAATTTAATTATTTAAACTCATCGAACAAATTAACCTTTTTAAATTCGTTTCACGCTAGATTACTTATTGGAAGAAAAATATTGCTCAAGGTGCTAAAACTTTTAATCCTATTATTAAGAATTTTTTTTTTAATTCTAAATTATATTTTTATTCCCTCGTGCAATAAACGTATTAATAAAATTCTGAATATTTCATTTAAGAGTTTACTTTCTGTAAAAAAAAAAGAAAGAGAATTAATGATAAAATATTTTATGCTTAACGTATTTTAAAAAAATATAAAAATCTATAGAATTTACGAAAATGCTTCTATAAAATAATAATTACCATACATCCTTTTCCGTAATTACGGAAAACTGGCTTTTTTCCATAAAAATCATTTGATCAGAATTAAATGAAGCAAAAACGATTTAGAAAAATAGGAAAATTTCTTTCCGAAATTTGATTTCCTATTGGATTTTGAAAATACTTGCAAATATTATGAATACCTATTTCTTATTCATAAGTTAAATATTAGTTTTCGAAAAATTATTTCATAGAAATATTTCTAAGATTATGGTAAATATAATATAGATATAAGACTTGGCTCTAGAAGTTGGAAGAATCCTAAGTGAGCGGGAAGACATATCCAGCAGACGAAGCGAACGTACCTGCATCCAAGAGCGTTGTGAACCGCGGAGCAGAAGACTGTCCAAGCACCCCTGCCAGGGCCTTATATGGTTAGGCTTGGCTCCTCATCTGCTGCTATTTTAGCAGCCCAGATCCCCGCCTATAAATATCCTCCCCCTCGCCGACAGAACTAAATGGCTCGCATATGGCCGACGTTCACAAATAGAATCCTAAGATGGCTGCTGCCTTTTGGCTTCCTGCTTCTTCTGCATCCTCTATGCCGCCATTTTAAAATAAGTTTTTATCATATTTTGAGGTGAAATTATAGTATTCTATAGATGCCTTTATTGTATTGGATTATAATCTTCTCTATGTTCTTTTGTGTGTTTTGTATTTTGGTTATTGATTTTTGATTATTTATATTGAATTTTTAAAAATTCTACATTTCAGTTTTGATATATCAACTACGATTTATATTAGAATTTTATTTTTTTTTAATGTTTAAAGTGTTTAAACGACGTAAACTTATTGACTCATGACTCTTTCTATATATACATTTTTAAAATTAAGAGCATTTTAACTCAATAATAAAATTGTTAATTTGATTAAGAACAGTTATGAATTTTGTATAAGAGAAGAGAGAGAGAGAGCGAATATATTTTAAGATTTTAAAACAAAGTTTTTGACCTTTAACATGGCGACATTTCAAAGCTTAATATCGAGGTTTCGAAGTTTTAAACCCACATTAATGTGTATGAAATAATATTTTATAGTTTAAAAGTACAATTATAAAATTCATATTTTGAAGTTAAATAATAACTATTCGATTCAAATTGATATTTTTATTTTAAAATCTTTTTATTTAGTGACTCTTTAGTCAATAAAACTCGTTTACACTTAATATAAGATCATTTCGATTCAATATTAAATATGAAGTTTCGATCCTCGTGGTCACTATTTTTGCCGCCTTGGGGCTTCGGGCTCTAGGTGTGCTTGGTGCGTCCTTGGTTCCTTCCCAGGCGGCGCGCTGTACCAGATTCGGCGGGCTGTTTGCACGTGTCGTCTAGATGTTGTCCTGTGTCTTTTTATGTGCCTTAAAAAGCTTACCTGAAAGCTTGTAGAAGGCGGAATAATTGATACGATTCAATATTAAATAGAAATATTTTACAAATTATGTGTAGACGAGTTTTATAGAATAGGTACAGGTAAATACTAAATAGAAAATATTCAATAAAAAAATATTGAAAATGAGTTATTATTTAACTCTCCGAATAATGTTATTCACTTTCATAATGCTATTTTGACTACAAATGTTGTTATTTTACATTAAATGTGATTTTAAAACGGCAATTTGTACTTTGAAATGCCGTTGTTAAACACTTTAAAATTTTGTTATTAAATCTTAAATTTTCAACTTTAAAATTTTTATATAATACATTTAAAATATGATTTCTTAAAACTGCAAAACCTTTATATATACACAAAAAAAATGCCCTTAATGAAATCAAAATATTTTAATCTTAAAATTATCTTTTAGAAAATAAATCTCCCTATGTGTTAAATATATTTCTCATTTATTCGTATTATATACTAAATACAATAAAATTTCTTAAATATTTGAAGAACAATAATGAAATTTACAATTATATAAATGTTTTGAAAACAAATTTAAACAATACGAGATATTTGTTTCACTAACGTTATCTAGTTAACATATTCATCTAAATGGAATTAATTCAGTTTGAAATAAATCTTTTGTTCTCAAGAGAGATACTCATTTTAATAAATATGCTTAAAGTTTTAAATGTTAGGATAAATTTTCTCATTTTAGAATTTTAAAATAGCTTTGACACTTCTTTTATTTATTTAATTTCTGTAATGGAATATATTAAAACGATATAGGGGTATAAACATGTTTAGTTTTATAAAATTGATTTATAAATTAGACTATTTTTACATCTGCTTGTGTGTATTTGATATAATGGAATAAATTAATTAGCTACATTGGAAATACGTATATCAATTAAAAAGCCCTGTACGATTTATAAATGAATAAAATAAAGCATCAAGGGCTGCTTATATATATATATATATATATATATATAAAGATACGCAGCCCTTGATGCTTTATTTTATTCATTTATAAATACGTATATGTTTGTATTTTAAAAAGGCTTAGATTAATCTACTTATTTAAATTAATTGTATTTCTTCGAATGTAATATGGCAAATTTAATTCAAATTCAATAGTAAATATTGGAAATATATAGATTTTTAAACAACAACAAAAAGCTTTATTAAGACCTTTTAGTCTTATACAGATTCTCCAAGCAGAAATGTAGGATACATTCAGGAAAAAAAGTAATAGTACCTTAATGGTAATATGATTTTTATATACAGAGAAACTTAATTAAGACAATCAAGCTAATAGATTAGTCTGGGTAAATTATAGAAAGATAAATTTATTACACATGGATTTACCGCGGATTAACCGCAAATGAAGGTAAAAGAGCAAAAGCTAATCGCAATCAATATTGAGATAATGAAATTTATCCATTGTAATTAAGACAATTGAACTCATAAACAGATTTGAATGGGTAAATTCGAGGAAAATTAAAAAGATACAAAATAAAAAGCTTTTTAAAAATATTGAATATTGAATGCTTAAAAGAGTCAAATTTTAAGATGTCATTCTTAATATATCTTCTATATATATAAAAATGAATGTATGTGTGTGTGTCTGTTTGTTTGTTTGTCCTTTATGCCTGACCAAACCACTCATTGGATCGCCATGAAACTTTGGGAAGTTATTTAGTATAGTACTGGGAAGGTTTCTAGCAAATAAAATTTTTGAAATAACTTTTCGCCTAGAAATAATCAAGATAAATATTCTAATTTATCTGTTATAATTCAACAATCTGCTCTAAATATTATCATGATGATACGATGATTTTGTAATGTAGAAAATTAGGAAAGACAAAATTCAGGATGACACGGCAATTTATTTGAGACAAGAATAATGATACAATTCAAAGGCAAGATACTATTCCTTTAACTTCCAATTACCGAGGGAACCAATTAATATTGATTTTATTCAACTTATCGAGTATTTTTCAAGGGACCGGGAAAAAAATGTTCACTTTATCGAGAGATTCGTTAAACAAACCTTTACTCGGGTAAAACCCGGGCGAAGCCGGGTACATCCATACAAGAATAATGATACAATTCCAAGGCAAGATACTATTCCTTTAACTTCCAATTACCGAGGGAACCAATTAATATTGATTTTATTCAACTTATCGAGTATTTTTCAAGGGACCGGGAAAAAAATGTTCACTTTATCGAGAGATTCGTTAAACAAACCTTCACTCGGGTAAAACCCGGGCGAAGCCGGGTACATCCATACAAGAATAATGATACAATTCCAAGGCAAGATACTATTCCTTTAACTTCCAATTACCGAGGGAACCAATTAATATTGATTTTATTCAACTTATCGAGTATTTTTCAAGGGACCGGGAAAAAAATGTTCACTTTATCGAGAGATTCGTTAGACAAACTTTTACTCGGGTAAAACCCGGGCGAAGCCGGGTACGTCCGCTAGTATATTTATATATAGATGGTAATTTTGCCGGAAGGAAATTGATCTATAAAAATAAGGTCGCCTCTCC